CTGCTCTGGCTGCGCGTCAGAGCTACTTTTTTGACCGCGCAGCCAGAGCAGCAAAGCTGCTTCAGCCGCGCGTCAGAAGCTGGTACAAGCAGCAAAAAAGGAAGCAGCAGACGTGATTTTGCTGCTCCTGCTGCGTCCAGTTTGAAAGCAGAATTCTCCAAGAGTGTCTCGCAATATTCACTCCGCTCTGGCTTTGCTCTGTCCACGGGCTGCTGAGAGGAGGATGGTCGCGCTAGCTGCGGTCCGCTCTTCTTGCAGTCAAACACCGAGCAACTTTCTGCTCTTAAATTATTTCCGTGCTCGATGTATTGCATTGCGCACTATTAGCATCAGTCTTAATAAAGTGAAGCCGCACTTTTGACCTGGGGGGCATTTTAAAGGGGTTCCGCGACGCTCACAACCAGTTCACATGAACCCTGGCAGTAGGCGTGACCACCTGTGTATTTTTCCTGGATGACGCAATCACGTTAAGTGTTACAGCCAATCACCGAAACTTGGTACCGAAAGACGAGACATGTTTCGATACTCTGTAGAACCGAAGCATTTCGGTCGGTACCATAAAAGAACCGAAGTTCGATACCCAGCCCTATTCCTTTCACCTGTCTATCTGCCCGGTTGTTCATCTGATCCACCTGAGTCCTGCTGCTATTTACGCTGCCTGTTTCCCTACCATCTGTGCCGGGTTATTGGAGCTGATTTTCTGATCCTGATCTGTTTCTTCTTTTGGGACTTCCGCGTTTTGCTTTGCCCCTGTTTGTGCTCTTCTATTCTTATCTGTTCTGGACCGATTGCTGGATTCTGCGGGCTAACCAAACTTGGACCTGTCTTCTTACATCGGATTGAGTTCTCCTCTGGTACATCCTCGACTCTCTGATGTTCTGGTCTGGTAACCCGGTTCTGTAACGACTCCGGCTCTGGATTTTCCCCCAATGGATACTCCTGCTCCTTGGCGTCGGCTGGCGTCTGCTCATTAGTCTGCTCAGGTCATCACTCGGAACTCTGGGGGCAGCTCCCGCCGCAGGCTGTGGAGAAACCTCCCGTTTAGAATCTTCTCCTTCCTCCGGGCTCCGTCTGCACTCAGTTCCAGGTTAGTGACTTATACTCATAGTCTTGGCCCATCTAAGATTCAAAGTCACTAAACTGAATTTCTATCTCTACAGAGTATCCATTGAATCCGCCCCAGCTGATGAGCAGCCAGAGGTTCACGTTTTAATAAACGCTTGTTTTGAAATCACCATGAGCTGTTTTGCTTTCCGAGCCTCTGACAATCTGGTGGAAATTAAAGATGTTTTTTTTTTTTTTTTATCAAATGGATTCATGAAATATAACAGCAAGAACTGATTAATCAGTTATGAAATTCACTTGTTGGACCTTTTCATCACTGTTAGGTGGATCTGTTAGTATTTTTAGTTTCTGTTTGTGGTCAGAGGACTGACACGGAGTCAATAGTGATTGTGTATTGTAATATCTTGAAATGTTAAATAATTTTCCATTGGGCTTGTTGTGTAAGGAAGCACTATTTTAGCAAGCTAGCATTAGGCAGCGTTAGNATGGATACTCCTGCTCCTTGGCGTCGGCTGGCGTCTGCTCATTAGTCTGCTTAGCTCATCACTCCGAACTCTGGGGGCAGCTCCCGCCGCAGGCTGTGGAGAAACCTCCCATTTAGAATGTTCTCCCTCCTCCGGGCTCCGTCCGAACTCAGAACCAGGTTAGTGACTTATACTCATAGTCTTGGCCCATCTAAGATTCAAAGTCACTAAACTGAATTTCTATCTCTACAGAGTATCCATTGTCTCCGCCCCAGCTGATGAGCAGCCAGACGTTCACGTTTTAATAAAAGCTTGTTTTGAAATCACCATGAGCTGTTTTGCTTTCCGAGCCTCTGACAATCTGGTGGAAATGAAAGATGTTTTTTTTAATCAAATGGATTCATTAAATATAACAGCAAGAACTGATTAATCAGTTATGAAATTCACTCTTTGGACCTTTTCATCACTGTTAGGTGGATCTGTTAGTATTTTTAGTTTCTGTTTGTGGTCAGAGGACTGACACGGAGTCAATAGTGATTGTGTATTGTAATATCTTGAAATGTTAAATAATTTTCCATTGGGCTTGTTGTGTAAGGAAGCACTATTTTAGCAAGCTAGCATTAGGCAGCGTTAGTTGACCTTCACACGATCTGCAGCTTGTTTCTGTCATGATCTTGGCACTGCTGACTGGCTTAATTACTCATTTCATTCACCTGTCCAATTCTGCCCAGTTGCTCATTACCTCTCACCTGATCCACCTGCTCCTGCCTCTTTTTAACCTGCTCGAATCCAGTTATCAGGGCCATATTATCTCGTTCTCTCTAGCCAGTGGTGAGAGTGTTTTTAGAGTTCCTTGGTGTGTCTTATTTCCTGATTCTGACCTGTTCTTCCTCAACCCCCGAGCCTGCCTGTTCCCGTCTGAATGCTTTGCCTGAACTGTCTTTGGACTCCTGGATCTCTGAGCCTGCCTTTTGGTGTTCTGATCTGTTGGCCTGACCTGGCTTCTGTGTTGTGACAGTATCCTTCTACTTGATTGTTTCTCTCTCTCCTGTATACATCCATATTCCTTTATCTAGCTGGTCACAACCTTCCCTGGTCTCCTTCATTACTCTGAGTCTAGCATAAACCAAGCATTATGTAGGGCTGCCTTGCCATCAGAGAGCCCACCCCTAAGATGATATTTCTCCACTTGAAGGGAAAATGAATCAAACTGAACTGACTCGACCCATTTTAACCTGAGTGAATCATTGGTCACTTTAATGCCCACCAGTTTGTAGGAACAGCATATAAAAGCTAGGTCCATAAAGACATGGATTAGCCAGAGTTCTATGTTATCATTCTGGGATCGCTGCCATTCAGTCTATCCGTGAAAAGGAGGGAATTTTAGTACAATACTTCAAGCTGATTTGGTGAAGTGCTAGCTAGTACCTGCCTTCCATAAGACGCTTTCAGGCAATCGTCTTGGTTGTTCATGAGACCCATAAACGGAGAAACAATGATCACAATAAGATTGGTCTGCAGCTTCTTGAGGGTTTTCACAACTAGCGGAGTAAGATGATAAATCAAACATTTTCCAAATCCTGTCAGAAGAAAAGCACAGACATATTTCTCATCTACAAATACACAAGGTGCTTCTCTTTACTCCTTTTATGAATGAGAATTTGTACATTTTAGCTAAAACCAAGTTACTTGCAATATCGACAGGTAAGTCCTCCAGTGTAGCCATGTTTGTTATGCACGTGCAAATCCCTTTTGACTGTTGTCATTCCCGCATGTCTCACCCCAAAAAAACACTGCTGGCATGTCATTGGTCCGACCCGCTGGTGGTTATGAGACAGACGTACTAGCGGCAGTCTTTCAAGATGGATTTGTTGTGAGACTGAAAACTCAGATCTCGTGATAGTCCATCAATGTTACGGTAAAACAGCTCTGGGATGAATTTGGAGAATATAATCCACTTCTTCCCCTGCAATGAAAGCCTTCTTTCCTCAGGAGTCGAAGCTGTTAAAGCTGAAAGGACTGATCAATGCCATATTGAAACATCGCATACTATTTATAGCGTGTAGATTTATCAATATTCACAATAAATTTAGGACAGGAGCTCCTAATTATTTCTCAGTGACTGAACTGGTGAAGACCAGAACCAGACAGTCAGGCTTATCCGTGACTCTGCTTTCAACACATTGTCAGTGGAGGATTAACTGATCCGCTGCCTACTTATTCTTCAGAAAGTTAACATTGTGTTTCTGTTTTTTCTAGGACTTTAAGCCTTTGCTGCAGCACAATCCTGCCTGGAATGTAGACCAGCAGAGAGGAGGCAGGCCAAAGATAAATGGAAGTCTTCCTGCTTCGTCTCATGTTGACAGAACAAGTGTAGTTCAGCCACAATCGCCGGGATCCTGTTGCACAGATGAGCAGAAAAACCAGAGAAGACATGGGGAAGTTTTGATAGGAGAGGAAGAGGCCCAAGAGAGAGGAACAAAACGTGAAGCAGAACCTATGAAAGAAATCGATGATGAGGTCCGTGTGGACAAAAGAGTTTGCGCAGACCTCGCTATCACCAGGGAAACAAGCATGCTGAGCCCTCCGTCTGCATTAGCACCTTTAGATCAAGACGAGATAATTGATGTAGAAACCCTCTCATTGAGCAGTTTCCCAGACTGTTTCCAAGAACCAACACAAAAGGAAGAACCTCCCTTTCAAGACAAGGAAATTTTATCAGGTCAAGATTCAGAGAGCAGTGATTCGATCATCGATGTAGAAGGAGACCAAGGAGGCACAGCTGAGGATTGGTTAGAACAACAAAGATGCTCTGTTAGTCCTAAACACCCCAACAAACAGCTCAGCCTAGGATGGATGGGAAAATGGGAAGAAGATGGAGAGGACCAGTTCATTGATGTGATTGGAAGCAGGAGTAAAGCCTCAGATCCTGGGAGAGTTACTTGGATGAAGTCCTCTGGAGATGATAGGGAGGGCAGAGGCCAAGAGGAAGTGGACGTTCTTGTAGAAAAGATGGATGGTATACCTCCTTCCTCTGTGAACCTCTCTGCAGTGCATCACACAAAGATCAGCCAGAGCAAGATGCTCTCTCACTGACTCACCACATCCACCTCTTCTCTAGTTTCATGTTTAGGATCAGCCTCATTTACCCAGACTTTGTGCAAAGAGTTCAAGAAGTTGTGTTGATCATTGTCTGCTCTTTTAACGTTTTAGATCAAAGTATTCATAAAACATCTGGGACATTTTGTTTTGACAGTTAGGAAAAAAAATGTGTTTTACGATCATAAGTATTCATAGTTAGTTTACTAATCAAGAAAACAGCAGTGAACTGTAATCAGACTAGGGATTAATATCAAAGAATGTTCAGTAAGGTTTGTTTTAGCTCTAAACAATGTTGTTTTAAAGCCCAGGAAAGCATGTCTTTTTTAGTGCCAGGAAAATCTGGATTGTTGTTTTAGTTGTACTTCTTAGTATACTTATACTATCAGTATGACTATGGGTTGTAGATTTAGCTTAGAAATTCAGCTTGTTTTCTACTAAGATCTGTCAAATGTTTCAGGAAAACTTTTGTAGACCTTTAATTGTTTATCGAAGCGTTCACTGTCAGGATTTTGTATATGAGTTTGACTATAAAGATATTATGACAGGAAATTGATGGTTTTTATTTTCGATGGATGGATGGATGGATGGATGGATGGATGGATGGATGGATGGATGGATGGATGGATGGATGGATGGATGGATGGACTTATTTGCAGACTTATTTGCTTCATGAGCTGCAAATATATGTAAACATTTTTTGCCTCTAATTTAAAGATTTAATTGCATCAAACGTAGGTTTTGGAAAATTCTGACTAGTGAATTCTGGAGCAGTCAGTTTTAATTTATATGGAAAAGACATTAGTATTTATCTAAAATATGTAAACATGTGTAGAGCTAGAGTTTATTAAAAAGTGTGTCTTTTCTCTGTGACTTTGAATGCAACACTTGTTTTAGTTTATTTTTGTAAAATAATTCAGAATTAAAGAGATAGTGTTTTTAACCTGACACACAGCAAATATATTCAAGCAGTATCAATAAAGTTCTAGTTTTTACTTTGTTAATTAGATAGTTTTATCAAGTTGATTCAACCTGTTGCTTTATGTCTCGGTTTATTTATCTCTTTGCATCGTTTCCAACAATTTATCCACCAGACATTCAGCCATCATTTATCATCTTTTAATAATATCTATGTAATTATAGATAATCCTTATAATGCGAGGAAACATAAATAACAGACTCAGTAATAAGACAAGAACACATGAAGTAAAATTATTTTATTAGTAATCAACCTGTGGGTCGGTCTCCAGCACACAAACAACACATCTGAGCTGCACCTTTGCCTCACTCATTGGGGAGGGGGGGCACTCCCTGTTTATCTCCAGGTTTTACACTTATCCAATCGAGTACAGCTCAGGTGTGTGCCTGATGCGTGGAGGAGCCTTTAAACCAAATAAAAAGACACTCTGTGCATCATTCATGTCAGCATGTGTGTGAAGTATGCAATTCCCTGTGCTTTAACAGTGCGATATTGTCTCTTATCACACTCTGGGTCTGCGGTGTCAGGTTGGGGTGGCTTAAGTCAAGAGGAGGATGATAAATGAGGGGAGGAGGAAATGAGGAAGAGTATGGGGGAAGAGGAGCTGCTTGGCCTGAGTCTCAGTGCTGGATGCGTCTGATGGACTGGATCTGAGGGGTCTGGCAGTGGGAGCCCCAGATAGTCCAGTGCTTGTAGTCTCCACTGTGTTTCTCACACTCCATGAGGTACTGCTGACCCCTGTAGCCAGGGAACTCGTAGCACACAAAGCTGTAAGGGAACAGCATCAGGAACATACAGGGTTAGAGGGATTAACAGCACAGCTTCCTGCTGAGGCCTTCTGTCAATCGCAAAGAGCTTAGAGTTAGAACTTACGCGCCACACTGCACATGCATGGAGCCGACCTCGGGCAGCATCCAGCCCATGGCCCTCAGAGAGGGGTAGTCATCACAGATCTCCACACTGCGACCCATAAAGTTGTCCCTCTCATAAATGATCATACGGCTGTTCTGGTGGGACTGAGGGGGAACGCAAAGGTATCAGTCGGCTGGACTCTGTGTGAGACCAGGATCAGGAGGATGTACTCACGGCGCAGTAGATGGGGTACAAAGACATGAGACGCTCCACGTGGTAGGAGATGGAGCCGCTGTAGGCTTCCCAGCGGGGATACTCTCCTCTCTCCAGGATGAACTGCTGGCCCTGGAAATTGTGGTGCTCGAAACCCATCCAGCTTTACACAAAGATACAGAAACAGAACAGGTCACAGATGTGCTTCTAGTTTGACGGTTGAAAAAAAGTACATAGCCAGGGATGTACAATCTTAGAAGAAAAAAGGAATCAGTTACTGAGAAACCACATTTTGATCAGTTTATCTTTTCCATTATCGGCCCCCTCCTCTCACTGTGAGCTGCATGATCTTCATCATTCAAATTTATGTTAGCTGTGTTAATTGTTAAAGTTAATCCAAATTAATTAGGCTTATGCCTAAATATGTCTGCCAAATATTTCAACCAAAGCAGTCCAAAGATTTAGCTGACACTGACGTTGCAAGGACGGTTGTGCAGCCTGGTGATGTCAGTACAATACTGTGACTTACGCTCCACTCTCCACCCTGATGGAGCGGATGTTGTCCAGTCCACACTCCTGGATATTGCAGCATTGAGTAGTGAACTCCACACACTTCCCTTGGAAATCCTCTTGCTCAAACACAGTCACCTGGGAAGATTAAATGATTCTTATCTTATCGTTCCTTTGCACCGAGCAGGTATGATCACAAATCAACTGCATGCTTTCTGTTGGTGCACAGAAGAGCAGGTGATTACCTTGAAGAAAGGAGCCATGGCGTTTCCTGAGTGGACCAAAGGCTTCATCATTGGTGACCTTGTAGTTCTGGACATCTTGACTCCTGATAGAGAAAATAATACAAAAACAATATCAAGCATTTTAGATGATGTTCATTATTTTTGCCAGTGCTCATTTATAAATGGGATAAAACATCTGTAAAAGTGTCATTTGGAGGAGGTTTGGGCAGATCAGGTTGAAATATGTATCTAATTGCAGTTAAAGTGCTTCTGGGTTGACCAAGTTAGAACAGAGGTCGCCTTACCTAGACTGGCACTGTATTGGAAGAACTCTGGATTGGTGTGCGCCTACCGCCTGCCTCTAGTAGAGCTTTGAGAGAACCTGGCGCTTCAGTTTTATACCGAGCAGTTGGTGGGAGGAGCGTTCATCCATGCGCACCCAGTCTCTCTGGCTTCGTGTTAAATTGTCCACTTGGCATGAGGAGCAGTGGCGACGCGCGCTCCAGCGACCCTGCATGACCGCCGCATGCTGTTGTCCAGCTGCATCGGCCAGCTCAGCAGATCCTATAGTTCTCCTGAGGCTGGAGAACAAAGGGCGCTCCGGCATGTTCGGACCCCGGTCAGCAGTCCACCGCCTGACCCCCGAACAAAAGGGTTGGAATCGGGGAGGAGAATGTAGGAGGATTAAGGTGGCATAAAAAAAGAGATCCGTGAGGGGTCTGAACTAAAGCACAGAAACCTTTCAGAGAAGGTAAAATCATATTTCCTTATTCACGCGTGCACACATCTGGAGCAGCCGTGCACGCGCGTTTGCACAGGGGTTCCCAAGGTTGGGGTCTGGACACCAAAGTAAACACCAAACAGGAGCACACTGGGATTATCTAATAAACTAATTAAACCAAAGTGTTTTATATTGGAATTGTTTTAGCAGAATCACTACAAGGCAGAAAACCAATAGTATTTGAAAAAAAATCTTTTTATTGTTCCTTATCTTTTAATTTTGAAGTTTGAATCACTAATCTAAACCTCTGCTGTGTTTGTTTACAATAAAACAAAGATTTGTTCACTGATTGAATAATTAACCATTAAAATATGTTCAATTCTATAATGAATATTTAAACAGAATGGGAGAGACATAATGTTGTCATTTGGTCACATACAGCAGGTAGCAAAACTTAGCAGAAAGCCTTCCTCTTATTTAACACTGCAACAATCACTCATGTTTCTGATCTTCATAGTACTTATTTTACTGCTGGCTCGGTGTTTGTAAGTTCTGTGTTTCACTAAAGGAACTCATCCTGCTATCAACCCTAATATAATGCTTTAATCTCTTTTAGTATTATTTTTAACTGGTCTTAGAATTTATAGAATGAACATGTCCTATAATAATCTCTATTATGATTTAGCTTAATTTCTGGAGGATCTCAAGACTCCACTCTTCCTGATTCTTCAACACTTGGAGTCCCCTTCTCAATTTGGATCCCACTGTGATAGATAGATAGATAGATAGATAGATAGATAGATAGATAGATAGATAGATAGATAGATAGATAGATAGATAGATAGATAGATAGA